ATGGTATTGAGTGAAGTAAGATTCTATCTAGCCCAGGGCTAGGTGAAGTCAAGTTTGCCCTAGCCTACTCCTTGGCTTCTGCTACCCATTACACTCAGGGTTTTCATCTGTTTTTGTGGATTTTCACTGTGTTTTTAATTTTCAAGATATTAAAGTTATCTTCTTCCCTCCGGTCCACCACTATGGATGGTGACAGCTCTGCCACAATCTGGGAAGAGTTGGAAGACAAGGCATGTGCACCACTTTTCCTGGAAGAGTAGCCACTTCCTTTGTTTCTGGTGATGTAGAGGAGTTCTTGCCAGCCCAGTCAGGAATTTTTCAAAGAGGCATCATCCCAAGCATGCAGCTGGGCAAGTCAGGGCAGAACAGGGCAAGGGGCTGAGAATGACCCTCAGGGTCCTCAACACACTGGTGCTGGTGTTGAAATCCATCCTCCACCCTGTCTACCCAGCGCAGGTTAAGAACTACGGCCTAATTCTGGATGGGGAAGCACCCAAGCTTAGGCACATCTTTTCCAAAGCCATTGCTCATACTCACCAATAAAGTCCTACATGTTTTGCCAGGAAATGTATACCTAGAAGAAGGCAGAGTTGGAGTATAGCTGCATCTATTTTTTTCTGCTAAACTTCAATAAGAAATTTAGCCGGCTTAGAATAGCTTAAACAATAGTAACTGCAAACATATGTGAAATTTCTATAAAAGGACATTGTTTCCATTGTAATATTATTCTCTGCTGTTTTTTTTTCTTCTGAAGGAGTGGGTTGAAGCTTGATTTTAGATATGGAATCTTTTTCATCCCTGAAAAGTAGCTGGGTGGCAGGGGTATAGTAAGTCAGCTATGACTGTTGTTGAAACATGTAGGAAGGAAGAAATTCAAATGGAATACACAATTACAAGTTTCTTTAAGTCTAATTTCATTGTACTTTTACACATCTGGATAATTAACCAAGCGTTACATTCTCTCTAGACTATTTTTACAAGTACAATATGCTCTTCACATGATTTCCATTAGACTGTTCCAAACATTTAAGTACTCAGGAAGATTGCAGACCAAGATTCTAAATTACTCTGCCACTATGAGGTTGAGACCTTTTTCTCATGGGAGAAATAAAAGATTGAGAACTGAATTCTGAAATCTTTCTGATAGAGTAGGAAAATTGGAGGTTTATTGCTTCTTGAAGCTTAGAAAATACAAGTGCATACAAACACACATTAATATCTCTGCTTTTTCTTGTTGGAGGTGTGCGGGAATATGGTTGCCATGGGAAAAATTAACCAAACAAGAGCAGTGCTAGAATTGGCAGCTTGAAGCTCCTATAAGTATTAGAAAGAAATAGTAAAGGGAGATTAAAATCCAGATGTGCCAACTGGTAACAATTGGGTTGTTGTGTAAGACATATATGTTTATCTGGCTAAGTTCTTTATTGGAAGGTCACTGCCAAAGTCTAAAATAATGTGTCAGATAGTTTCTGGCTGCACTTTTTCTCTTTCCCTTTATAATTGCTTTGATGTTGCTCTGAGCTTTTATGAGGCCAAGATCTGATCTGATGTTAGGGGGTTAGTGTTAATTCATAGCCTTCTCTGACCAGCTGCTGCCCACATTGGTGAACACCATGGGGAGGTCGGAGAAACTGCAGGCCGAGATTTCCAGCTGTGGTTACCGTTGTCATCATTATGAGCAGAACTCAGAACAAAAGGAGCAAGAGTTCTTAAAAGTACAGGGTCATAGGGCTAGGCCCAAGGGACTACAGAGTCTACTTCTAATTTGTAAGACAGATATATCTAAATTTCCCCCCCCAAAATATGGGGTTCTATTCTATTTAAAATATATATAGACAGGAAAAAACTAGGTAAAAGAAAATATACTTGACTTATTATCTGATTATCATTTGAAGTACTTGTGGTGATCAGAGATTGTTAAATTGAGAAATAAAAATTTTAGAAACAATAAGCCTGTTTTTCAAACAAAAAGAAAGATATCTTAACAAGGAAGATGAAAATTGAAAATTTTTGTTAGAATATTTCTGTGTCTGTTTTTCAAAAAATAATCCCATAATTGTCTGCTGTGTGACAGCCTGGGTCACTGATCCAATGGAATGATTAATGAAAAAGGCAGTGAAGGATTTGTCACACTGACACAAAGCAAGAAAGTGTGTGATAGTCACTAGAGGCAGAAAAATGAGATAAGTGTCATCACCCTTAGGTTAGCAGATGTGGACTGAATATTGAAGAATCTGTTTTTGGAAGTGATTATAGAATTAGTCATCTCGCTGTCTTGCATTTCATATATGTTCAGCTTAGCCAGCAAGGAATAGATAAAAACAAGATTGGGTCCCAGTGAGGGGATGAAAGATCCCTGGTACATTCCTGAGCCATTGACTGAATATGATTTGATGTGAGAAATGAGGGTTTTGCACATGAAATTCATAGTAGGCACATGACTGAAATGCACAGACCTGCTTGTTTTCATGGCTGTAACATATATGAAAATAATGTTTACTGTAGGTGGACTCAGATTAAAGTAAGTGAAATAGCTTGGTTCACAGTAGATGCTAAAAGTCAAGTGTGTGTTCCTTCTTAATTTCCTGTCTGGTCATAGCCCAGATTCACATGATGGTCACAGGGAGAAGGGGCCATAAAACTGTGGATGCTTTAGGTTAAATTTGTATCACTACCTGCGTAGAGATTTCAGATGTATCTCCTTCCAGCTCATAAAGAATGAAGACAAGAGTTTCATTGCTAGACCTAGCCTTAAGAAAACCTGCGAAATAGTATCCGTGAAAGATAAACTTTCAGCATTTGCGTCAATTTCCAATAGAGAAAAAAATATTTAGAAATACTGTTAGATACATCCCTTATCATATATGTTTTTATGTAACTACACTGTGCTAGCCAGTATATATACTGTGGGAATAAAATTCATGAATTGGTAAACTTTGCACCATCACATTAGAGATAAGGTTTCTGTAATGTTTTCAAAAGACATTGTGAGCTTTACAAGGGCAAATGTTGTGCCTTATTCATTTTCGTGACTTCTCAAGTATCTAACATTAATGCATTTGACAAAAGAGTCGTTTGATAAGCCATTGTTGAATAAAGACTGTGTAATACATCTTTACCAGTGAAAAAATACTCAAGGAAGTGTGCTTTTTTGTATCTTACAGATATTTTATTTGATAAATATCTGCTTATTGCCACTAACAAGAAAACATACCACAATTATGCAAAAAATCAAATTTTAGCTGTGTAAACACATCTTTATAGCTAAAATGTACTTCTGAGTGTGAATGAATGAACTGCTTTCATTCATTTTTTTTTTTTTGCCTAACAATTTATTACTGCATAAGAGGAGTGCATCAATGAGGAGATCTTATGTAAATGATATTCTTTTAATCATTTGGAAGAAATTTAAATTTTGGAGAAGGTCAGTCAAGATATGGTCTGGCTCCCTCACTTAAGCTCTCTAAGTCCTGATGTCCTGTCTTGAAATTGCATAGTGGTGTCTCCAGCATGTGGCTATGATATTGGTTCCCAACCTTTGAATCACAGACCTCTGGAGGGTCCTGGAGACAGTGTCAAGGGTCTATGCACTTGCAGCTATCCATACAAGGGTTAGTCTATCTTCAGTATATATGCATTTTTTGGAAATTAAAATTTGTTGGAGAATGATAAGGACTAAGGGAAAAGTAAAGGAGAGAAGGGCAATATAAAAAGAGCAAAAAGAAGAGATATTAAACTTTAGATGGGTGGCCAAGGACAGGATCTCTCAGAAGGGCTTGTTTAAGGAAGTGAGGAAATGAGCTATATGGATATCTGTAGGGAGAGCATTCCAGCGGAAGGAGCAGCTAATGCACAAGCCTGGTGGGTATGCTTGCAATATGTAAGGAAGAGTTTGGAAGCCAGTAGGGCTAGAGAGACATGAGCAAGAAGGCAGTAGCGGATGAAGAGGAAGAGAGCAGCTCGCATCGGCCTTACGCCCCAGAAAAGCCCTTTGTTTTCACTGTAAGGTGGATAGAAAGTCGCAAAGACATTTGAACAGAGAAGTGGCTGGAGCAAGGTAGTGGAGTGGGGATGTGAGGAGACACCACACTGTGGAGGCAGCCTGACAGAATAAAGAGAGTTGGCAAGCTTGGCTGGTGGGCTTTTGTGGGGGTACAAGAGAAAGAAATGCATATAAAGAATTGACAGCGAGATTTTCGACCTGGGAAATCTGAAGAGTTAACATGAACGGAAGGGGAGGCCACAGGAAAGCTTGGGGATTGGGAGCTTCGTTTCAAACATAGGAAATCTGGCATCAGACATCCAAGCGGAGATGCTAAGAAGGCAGCTTTTGATGGAAAGAAATACAAAACTGTTTAAAACATACCACTAGGTCACTTGTAGCTCTTTTTCAGCACAGTCTAAAAGCAGAAGTATTATCGTGTTTGTTATGGGAAAAGCTATCCACAAAATATTTGGACCTTGAGAAAGGACCTGTGTTGAGAAAAGGTTGGAAACAGGGATAAATTCAAGTGAAAATTTCAGTGGCCAATAAATATTATTTTCCATTTCCCCTTCTATTCCTTCAAAATACATTGACTTCAAAATTTGTATCATTATATAGATTTTGAAGTCTTTGGTTTAGATGAGAATTTTTTTGCTCTTTAATGAAATTTGAACATTCTTTACTGAAGTTCTATTGAGAAAAGTCCAACAGATGTGAGAATTGTGTATACTATCTTACATCATTTTATTTTGGAAGGAAATTAGAATGTTGACTTTTATATGTTTGTTATTTTTGGTGTACCTAAGCTATGACTTATATGTCCCTTAGTGCTATTGGGTATGACAGAAGAAGTGAAAGAAAACTCTTCACTATTGTGGAATTGACAGTGTGAAGGTATCAGATGGTACCTCGTATGGAAGCGTTGCTGCTTCGCTGTTATTTTAATTAGCTTAAGCACATGTGTTTGTATTAGCTTCAGTTTGTGACTGCCCATGCTAACTTCTATCCTTCTCAGTCTTATGCAGGGAAATATGTGCCAGCCATTGCACACTATATCCACTCTCTCAACCCTGTTCAGGAGTTTAAGATCCATCTGAAAGGAATTGCTCTTGGAGATCCATATTTTGATCCTGAATCGGTAGGTGCCTTTCCCTTTTGTCTCTTAGAGATATTAGGTCCTTTTTGGTCATATAGACACTCTTCCTACCTTACAGGCCTAACTTGATAAAGAGCAGTTATCAGGTGACTTTATGACTTAAATCTTCAACTTTTTACTGTTTCAATATGTCACCCTTTTGTGACAGCTTACCTTGGCTGGGTACAAAACAGTGTGTGTGTGTGTGTGTGTGCGTGCACGTGCGCACAGGTGTGTACTTGCATGTTTTGTAGGGTGCCTGTATATAATTATGCATGTAATTGTCTGACTTGGCCAATTTCAGCACAAGATTGACAATTACAAAGAGTTACTTCATGAAGCAAATGGATTTCCCAAAGCTCCATCTTGCTGTCTCTCTGGCATTTATACATGTCTCTTTGGTCTTCAGATTGTCGGGGGCTATGCAGCATTCCTGTATGAAACTGGCTTGTTGGATGAGAAGCAGAAAAAGTACTTCCAGAAGCAGAGTGATGAGTGCATAAAACACATCAAGAAGCACAACTGGCTAAAGGCCTTTCAAGTGAGTTCTGGGGCCCTATGCTGCCCTCGAGCAATTAAAACCAGCTGAGGAGAGGAGGGGCACGTAGAAGCACCATAGTGCTCAAGCATTTTTTGTGTGAGAGAAGGAATATCTGTTCTACTGTCTCAGATCAGGGGGAGAGATCTCAGATCAGGGAGTGGACGCATAATGAAGAAAAGAACTGTCTGCGTTTCTTTGAATTTACTTTGGCTGTATTTTAAACCTAAGGTCATATTGGAGTGTTTATCTAACTGTGCCTTTCATTAACGGTTCAGATTTCTTTAAAAGCTGTGTAGGACCTAAAGGCACACCCGATCACAGGGAAATCAGAAGAGAGGCAACCTGGGAAGTGGATGCATAGCCTATGCCCTAAACCGCCTAGAAGTGTTATGTCCCCAAGCAGGGGTTCTCTTGGAGAAGTGACCCCAGTGTGCAGCAAATATCGCATGTTCCTGTGTGTTAGGAATAAAGATTATGAAGTGCAGCAATTAGAAACTTTTTAAAGAGCCATTGGTGTTTGTGAATGTTGTTATGTTACTGGATGAAAATTAAGCTAGAGAATCTAATAATATGGTTATACTTTTCACCCTTTTGTCTTCTCTTTTCGTTATATGAAATATAAGAGTACACAAAATACTCGGATATAGAGAGTTAAGTATTTTGGTCCAGTGCAGACAAAAGCCATACTTCAACAGTCTTCCTTGCTATGTTTCCTAAAGAGTCATTCTGTTTGACACATTGGTAAGTGAAGCAAGGACTAAATTCTGAGGAGTTCAATCTGCTTGTCATTAACAAATCCTATCACGGTATATGTACCTACTGTCACTATGATTATTTAGGCAGAAGCCTGATGGTAATAGTCTTCTGGATACTGCTGATCTGCTGGTTTAGTTCGGAAAAGGAGAAGGACAACCTGAGGGAGAAAGTGGTAACTTAAAGTTAACCTCCATTTTACGTGTATGCTTCATTTTTCAGGACACTGCCTGAAATTCCCCAAGGCAGTGGCTGTCCTTACTCTGAATTCTGATGGCAGCAGGCCATGGAAATGCACTGAGAGAGGGAAGTCCCTGCCATCCCTAAGGACTCCAGTGGGCCCTCCCTTCTGTGGCAGGACACCAGATGTGGCTGCTATGTGTAAATTCAAAGTTGCTTTGGCTAATGTAAATGTGAAGGAGGAGGGATCTGATAGGAGACATATAGAGTTGTGCTTCTGCTCACAATGGCATTATTTTCAAGACTGATTGCAGTCAGAGATGGGGACAAAGTGTGAACCTTTAGAATTAATGCCAAATTTTATGGGTTACGACAGCAATGTGCAAGTGAGATATTTGATATCCTTTTAAAGAAGCACATAGGGATTAAGCAGTGTCAAGAGCAAGAACATCTGAGAAGTCCAAAGGTATGAAGCAGGTAGGTTGGTGACTGTGGTGTGTGGTGCATAGGCCTAGAAACCCATTGGATTAAGGAAACTATTGAAAAGACTGAGTCTTTTATGTATAACAAGACTATGGCCCAGGAGGGCAAGTGGAGTCTCTCCCAAACCAGATTCATCAGAAATACAAACAAAAATCAACAACAAAACTCAGAGGTTTAAAGGGTTGGGATGTCTTGTTGGTCACTGGTCTAATATCTTGAGTGATGAATTTAGACATAAAGACCTTTGATTTTTCAAGGAAAATGAGGAGAGTAATAGGACAGTAAACCAGTGTCTGAAATATGTTTGTGTGCAGTGAAAGACTCCAAGATCCTGAAATCAGAGGGAATGCAGATGCTAGAATCTTCAGCCTAAATGATACCTTTTTAATGCTCTGATTTTTTTTTTTTTTTTTTGGTACCAGAAATTGAACTCCGGACCTTCTACTTGCCAGGCAGGTGCTATGCCACCGAGCTATATCACCAGCCTGATGCTCTGATTTTTAAAAATTATTCCATTAATTGAAAAGCTGTACCTCTCAGATGAAAGGGACTTTAGAGATGGAGCATAATACACACAGGTGTACCTATTTTACTTTGAGGATGTTGGGACCCATAGGGGTGCAATCAGTTGCCAAAAGGCACAGCAATAGGTTCTGGCAGGCTATGGCTAGAATTATTCCTTCTCATCCCATTCCAGCATTTCTCCTGCAGTAGTTTTCAAACATTCTATTAAAAAAAATCCTGTTATATCTTAGAGATTTTGCAGTGTACAAAAGAGCTGATCCATGATCATGTCTTATCTCCCTTTCTGTGATGATGTTCTGGATTAAAGTTCTCCTTGTGAGATGAGTTATAACCAAGAACTGGACCTCATGGTTTTGGGCCACCCACTTTATTTGTTTGACAGTAGATGTTGTTTTACTCTTTCTGAGAGCAAATCCATTCTTTCAATTATTTATTTATTTATTCATTTATTTAGTCTTTTTTAGACAGGGTTTCCTTGTTCAGTTCAGGCTGGCCTTGAGCTCACTTTGCAATCCAGGGTGGCTTTGAACTTGCAGCAGTCCTCTTGCCTCAGCCTCCCAGGTGCTGGGATTACAGGTGTG